CAGGGTGAACCGAACCAACAATATTAGGACTAATATGTTTGTGTGTATTGCACACCCATTCTCGGTGCTAAACTTGTGTCACTGTGATTTACACATTCCATGCACCGCCCTCTGTTCGCCTCTCCGCTCTCTGACGGACTGCTTCCGGTGAGATGGACTCGACTGCCGTGCAAAGCGTGGCTGCATGGCTCGCTCCCTGATCGACTCTGTTCCTGTCCCTGCAGACTGCTTGAGAGTTGCAGGCTAAAATAAGATGCTAATTAGATCCACAAGTGAACATAAACATCCTCCATCCAAAACAACTGGACTGTCAAACACTGATTTTTATGTTTTAATAATTATATTCTCAACCAAGTTTGTTTTTTTTTGTTCTTGCTGGTTTTATTGGGGCATTATTTACAAACATAGCTCACAAAAAACAACTTACAACTAAATGCCTGCAAATGTAGCTAGTCAGCAGAATTTATTGTAAATTATAAGTAACAATATTTCTTATTATCCTCATTTAATAGATGTTTTATTGTTGATATCACCCTGGTGCTTTGGGATTGGGTGATTCTGGATTTTAGATGCACAAATGTTTGCAGTAGTGACTTTAGCTGTTTGTCCTGCATCCAAACATCTACAGTGTGAGAATAAACAGCCAATAAGTGGATGAAGTCCAACTTATTGGCTTATGGTTGATGATGAATTTGTTACTTTATTTGTTTTATATAATTTTTTTTGTTTAATTTGGGGGCGGTGATGAAGGAGACAGCATCAAAGTGAAGATTCAACACATTCTGCTGGCTTCCTTGAATAACTTACTAATTTTTATGTATGTGAATGTTTCTGTTCAGTGCCCTGAGATGACTTCTGCTATATAAATAAACTGAATTGAAAATTATTGTGACATTAGTTGATATTAGTTGTAAAAATTCATGTTATTGATGGTTGATTTAAAGAAAAAGTTGTCATTCACAACTAGTTTTACGGTTACCTTGAAAATTTCTTTTTGTTGTGTGTGTCAGGTGGAGGAGGATTCAGATCCCCCGAGGGTGGAGGATTTCGCGGACGAGGAGGTGGCAGAGGCACCCCTCGAGGGAGGGGTGGTGGCAGAGGCTTTGGAGGCGGAAGGGGTGGCAGAGGCTTTGGAGGAGGGAGGAAGGTCTTGATTGAGCCACACAGACATGAAGGTTTTTACAGTTTTCTTCATATTTTGATATAAAATGTCACTGAAGGCAGTAAAATGTACTTCTTAAAAGAAATTTGTTTTGAAAAATTATGTTCCAAAACATTTTTACAGTGACTGACACTAAAATCAGCTGATGAAAGTAAGGCTACATTCACACAACCGGTCTTCATGATCAAATCCAAATGTATTTATTTATTTATTTTTGCTTTATCGTGTACATATTTTAAATGCTGTTTTCAAACTACATGACACTGAAGGGACTCGCGTGCCCAGAAGTGATGTCATGCAGTACACTATTTACAGAAATAAATATTGAGGCCACGTGTGTGTTTCAATTCTCAAGTTGTTGCGCAATCGGGGCTAATTAAATTACCAAATATTACAATCTTTGTGCCCTTTTTTAAATTTTAGATGTGGCGCCATTATGGATTTCAAATGTGCTGCAATACACGCGTGTTCACGTGTTCGCACGGATGCATGTTAATTTGTGTGTTTCAGGAGTGTTCATCTGCAGAGGGAAGGAGGATGCTTTGGTGACCAAGAACATGGTGATGGGAGAGTCTGTGTATGGAGAAAAGAGAATTGGTGTCGAGGTAAGGGACGCGTTAGGTGATGAAGTTTTTTTTTTTTTCCCTACACTAAATTGAACATTTGTTCATTTTTACACTTCTCATTTAGAAGTTGATCAATGTGATAACGATTGATTGTTACTTGTGTATTAGGAAGGAGAGACTAAAGTTGAATACAGGGCCTGGAATCCTTTTCGCTCCAAGCTGGCTGCTGCCATCTTGGGAGGAATTGATAAGATCCACATCAAGCCTGGAGCGAAGGTCATGTACCTGGGTGCTGCCTCTGGTACCACAGTGTCCCATGTTTCTGACATTGTAGGGCCGGTAAGTCCGACACGTTTTTTTATTTAACCACATTTTGTATTGAACTCTGAAACATTTGCGTATCACACATTTTTTCAATGTGTGGACCAGTTTACATCAAATCTTGGAGAGCACAGATACCAAGCATCTCTTTAATAATAAAGTATATTGCACAATTGTGGAATGAGAGAAAAACATTGGAGGTTGAAAACTTGAGTTCAGTCTTTTATGGACAGATTTGGATACAAAACATGGCTTATCAAAGTTGATATTTATTTTATATTTATTTCACTGTTTATATTTGCATTCTACGTAGTAAAAACAATTTATTTTCAATGTTTGGTTTTCATAGTAAAAAATAATATATTTTTCGTAATCAGGTTTATTGTGTTAATACGGTAGATCAGAGGTAAAAAACAAAACAAAATTGAAATCAACACATGGGGAGGTGTTGGTGTGCTCAACAAAGACGCCAAACATGGCAGGTTAAAATAATTTTTAGAATGAAACTAATGTAAAATAAAAAGAATAAACTTCCAATTTCATCTTGGGCTCTACTGGGTTAATCAGTTCATATAAACTGGTTAATAATTTTTTTTTTTTAAGCGGTCAAAGCAGATGGCCGCTTGTCCTGAGCCTGGTCCTGCTGGAGGTTTCTTCCTGTTAAAAGGGAGTTTTTTCTTTCCACTGTCGCCTTTGTTGTTGCTCGGGATGGGAGACTGTGACGAAGTGAAGATTCAACTCGTCTGTTGGCCTCCTTAGATAGAGAACTTTACTATAGAGAACTTTACTATAGAGAACTTTACTATAGAGAACTTTACTAATTGGCTTTTTATGTATGTGAATGTTCCTGTGAAGTGCCCTGAGACAACTTTGTAGTGAATTGGCACTATATAAATCAACTGAATTGAAATGCATGTTAAGTTTTATGCTACTGATTGCTAGTTTAAATAAGCCTTAATAAGTTTTATGTCAAGTATCAACCATTAGTTATATAAAATTACATCTTGCTTGAAGGGTTTAACCCTAAACACTGGAGAATCACAATAAGAAAAATAATTATGTATGTCCTAAAGCACAGGTGTCCAAAGTGTGGCCCTCGGAGTGATTTTGTGCAGCCCACAACTGCAGTTTAAGAATGGTATCATTTTGTCCAGCAGTCTTAAGAGGTTGATGCAGACTTTCTGTAAATTAGTTGGTAATCCTTTTTTATATAATGTTTAGGTTTAACAGCGCAGATTAAAAACAATCTTTTCAAAACGAGCAACATGAAGCAAAATACAAACCTTTGGCTGTAATCTTTTTATTTTCACTTCATGGTACAAAGCACCAAAAAACTTTACTGAATTCTACCAGAAAGGAGAATTTTGGATATTGATTCGTAAAACTTGGCTAAATGTTGCAGCTGATCAAATAATCAAGAGAGAAATTAGACATTTTTAATTGAATAAAACATATCATCTGCATACAAGTTGATCAACTTTATCAAACCTTCAATAAATCTTTTGTAGCGACTGACAGCTGGATGATTTTTCAGAACTTGGATCAGCCTTTTGGGCCGTCCATGGTCCAAAAAGCCGATTGACCCCCTTTAAAAAGGACACCTACTCAAATTACGCTTTTGTTGCTGAGAACAGACTAAAAAGAAGAAAACAACAAACACAGACCAAACAAATCTAATAAATTAAATAATTTTTAATAAAAAATATAAGTTTATTGTTTATGAGGCTTTTAATGTTTTAGATCTACAACAATTTAAAACTCTCCACCAAAATTAATAAACTTTTGTCCTTTCTCTCTCACGTTGAGAGTTAAATTCACATTTTGTGGCCCAAGAGTTCTTTCATCTGGACAGGTTTGTCCCACACATGAAAACCTTTGGACGCCCCTGCCCTAAAGTATACCCCACTCTATAATTTCTCTCTAACAAGGTTCTCAGTGAACAAATAAAATCTTAATACTCGATAACTAATGTATGGCTAATTCTGCAAAGCATTTTTTTTAAGTTTGCATCTTTTCACAGTGATTTAATAATTTCTGTATTGTCAGTAGTGCCCTTTTAAACCAAACACATTTTCTTCCAAGTGAGACAATTAAAGAACCTTGAACCTGAAATGTTTATGTATTGGTTGCACTGTTGTGTTTGTAGGAGGGACTTGTGTATGCTGTGGAGTTCTCCCATCGATCTGGTCGTGACCTTCTCAATGTTGCAAAGAAACGCACCAACATCATTCCAATCATTGAAGATGCCAGGCATCCACACAAATATCGAATGCTGGTTGGTAGGTAGATGTTTAGTCACCACTCTCTTCATGCTGCATGTCCTAGGTGGAAGGGGTATTGCTCTGTCAACACTTGTCCTTTTGTAGGATGTGTAAGGGCTGGAATTGATGCTCCTCTGGGGTGACAGTAGAACTTCTGACTTGCAAATGTGTTTCTCACAAGTGATGCCAATTTGTCCTAATTGAAGGGGCAGGCACCTTTTATTGTTTCTCCTGGATCCTCAGATCCAGGTTTCAGCAGTCTGAAACCTCCACAATAGTTCCTTTGCCCAAGAAACCTCACAAATCCTGCTTTAATGACTACTGCCCAGTTGCAGCGATGAAGTCTTTTATAGCTGGTCAGAGGTCATCACTTCACTCCTTCAAAGTGTTGACTCCTACCTATTAGCCTACAGAGCTAACTGATCTACAGAAGATGCAATAGTCCTCCATGTTGCACTGTCCCATCTGGAGCAACAGGATAGCTGTGTGCGACTTCTTGTGGATTATAGCTCTGCATTTAACACCATCCTCAAATTGGTGATCAAACTGTGGAACATGGGACTTCCACACTCTACTTGTATGTGAATTAGCAGCTTCCTGTCTGGTCCCAGTCAGTGGATTAAAATAGGCAAACATACATCCATGGCCCTCAGCCTCAGTATGAGCGTTCCACAGGGCTGTATAATGAGCCCCCTTCTCTATGCCCTCTACACATCTGACTGCACCCCTGCCCACCACAGCAACACCATTGTCAAGTTTGCGGATGACACCATAGTGGTGAGACTCATCTCTGGGGGTATGGATCAGCCTACAGGGCTGAGGTGGAGCAGATGACAGTGTGGTGCAGGGACAACATTATGGTTTTCAACATCTTAAAATCCAAGGAGTTGATAATGGACTACAGCAGAAGCCATGCCTCTGATCATCAGTGGGGACTGTTTCCTGGAAGTCCACATTGAGTGGATCTGAGTGGAGTGTAAATCTGAGCTGCTGAAAAAGGCCCAACAAAGACTGCACTTCGTAAGAGTGCTTAGGGGAAAACTCATTCAGAGACTACTGGTGTCCTTTTATTGATGCTCTATAGAGAGCATTTTAACATTCTGCATCCCAGGGTGATATTCCAGATTCACCGTGGCGCAGAAGGAAGCACTCCAGAGTCATTAACATGGCCTAGAAGATCGTAGACTGCCCTCTCCCCTCGCTGGAGAAACCGCACAGTTCCTGCTTTCTGACAAAGGCTAAAAACGTTCTCAAGGCCACCCTGGACATGGTCTGTTTGAATCATTACTGTCTGGAAGACTATAAAGATGAATAAAAATGAGAACAAGTTCAAAAATGTGTGTTTATCAAACAGCTTTAACTCAAAAGAGCCTGAGATGCAAAACAATGTGTGATTTGAACGAATTCTATTTTTATAAGTGATGCATGGACGGGATAACTTTTTTTTTTTAATTTCATTGTATGCATGACTATTAATAAATATTCAGTTCAGTATTGCATCATACCTGTAACACCACAAATGTTTTTATTTTTAGAGACTGTCAGAAATTACTACAATGGCAATAAACTTTTGTTTTGTGTCAAAATAGATGTTTCTGATGATATTATGATCTAATGGTACTTTTTAAATATATCAACTTGAAAATGGGCCAAATTTGACACAAATAAAAATAATCTTTTGCAGAAGTAGATACTATTTTTCCTGTACAAAATCTTATTTTAAAGCCTATAGGGGATGTAATTGTCACATTCTGGTTCAAACTTAGCTGTTGACGTTATAAAGTGAAAGATTCAGACCAAGTTATGCAAGTTCTGGCTTTCAGGGAACATTTTAATGAAGGCAGCACAGTTTGAAAGCTCACTGGGATTGCTAATTGATGCTTTGGTAATATAAAGTGTAGGGAAACAATTGGAAGGTTTGTTTTTGCTTTAATCCCTGTGGTTTGTTCTTTTTCAGGCATGGTTGATGTGGTGTTTGCAGATGTTGCCCAGCCTGACCAGACAAGAATTGTTGCTTTGAACGCTCACAACTTCCTGAAGAATGGAGGACATTTTGTTATATCTATAAAGGTATTCCCAGTATTGCCTCTTTGTCAAAAAATCATTGTAAAATACTTTAATAAATCTCAAATACTTATACCCAACATGTAAGATTATATAAAACAAACCAGCTGTCTTATTTTGAATCAGTTAGTGTCCATTAATCACACAATCTGTTTTTTTTTCCAAACTATGGAAATATTGTCTTTGATAAATTAGTAACATGATGGCAGCCCTGTCATGTTTATGTTGATATAGTTTGTATTGTTGACTCTGCCCGGTTAATATGGGTGGATCAAATATACAGCAATGATGTTCAATCTTGTTAAAAACAGCTGTAAAATCTTGAATCCAAGCAAAGTTAGACTGTTTTTGGAGTAGCTGTATTGTTGAATTTAAGGATAACTGCACCTTTATTTGGAAGACATCGGTGACTGAGTAAAAAAAGGACAATCAGAACAAAATTGATCCCGCTTGAGATGATTTTAGATGCTACACAGGTCTTCCTTCAACCTTCTTAGTCCCTGTGTGAACAGATGTTAGTTCAATGTAGACGCCATATATTATATATATTTATCCTATTTTGCAAGTTGAATAAGTCGGTTGTAAGAATGGTTGAAACTACTGGTGGGATTTTGTGAACAGTTTTTTAAATAGATTATGTCCATAAAAAACTTGGTTGTGCATCACGATATCATAACTTGTTACAGTAGTTAACCAAAAAAGTCCATGCTCAATAATCCAGGTGTACAATCCAACATTTTTCAGTCGGGTCATCTGGACAGTTTATTTTTTATTTTTTTATTTTTTTTTTGTGCTGAAACGTTTCACCTTCTATCCAGAAGGCTTCATCAGTTCCAGTAGTTACTTTCAGTTTGCAACAATTCATAAATTTAGCGTCTGTTTTCAACAGTTTTTCATTTTTGTCTCCTTTAGGCTAACTGTATAGACTCGACAGCAGCTCCAGAAGCTGTGTTTGCTTCCGAAGTCAAGAAGATGAGTGCTGAAAACATGAAACCACAGGAGCAGCTCACATTGGAGCCCTATGAGAGGGACCATGCTGTAGTGGTGGGCATCTACAGGTAAACCAACTTTAGGATCTTTCAGCTATTTCCAATTTATAAGAAGACTAAACATTTGACAGCAGCTGCCAATGATGAATTTACACAATTTTTCATTGGCGTTGAATGTTGTGACCTATGGAAACAACAACAAATCCAGTGTTTCCTCAACCGTTATCCAAGGAGGGCGCCTTATTTTGACTGCCTGTATTCACAGTCGGGTGTTTTTAATCACTACCCAGAGTTTGTGAACATAGGTCAGGATAGGATTGTAGATCAGCAGGTAAAAAAATTAGCTTTGCCTTGTGGCTATGGCGTCCAACAGCCTTCTGGCTTGTCCATGTGATCGTTGGCAAACTGCAGACGAGCCGCAATCTTCTTTTTGGAGAGCAGTGGCTCCGTGCAGCCCTGCCATGAACACCATTGTGTTCTCCTGACGGTGGACTCATGGACGTTAACATCGGTCAATGTGAGAGAGGCCTTCAGTTGTGTTTACATTAATTTGGAATATTTTATTCTCGAGCTACGGTTTCAACATCTGAAATTGTCAGCTTTCACAAATTAATATCACTTTCCTAAATCGATTTGAGCAATCTTGCTTTCACGTTTTTATCAATTTGAATTTGTAACATTTGCATTATAATTAGGGGTGCACTGATTTATCAGCCCCGATTTTTTTTTTTGTTTTAACAACAATTGTCTAAACTTCCTTTGTATTTCAGAGCACTACCTCAAGGCCAAGTTTGTATTGTTTCTAGGATATTGTTCAGAGGGCTGTTTTTCAATAAAATAAGATTGGAAAATTGAAGGTGCATTGTGGCCTTATAACACCTGACGGTGTCTCTTATAAAACAAAATCTGAATCTGCAGACTTTTTAGAAATTGGTGATCGTCCAGAAAACTGCAATCGGTGCACCCCTAATTGTAATACTGTTTTTGTCTACGCAGTATTTTGCTGCACCTAAAGGTAAATAGTTTTAATAATCTTGGTTTGTATTTAAAAATCATGTAATCTGTGCAGTGAAGTGGGTTCAGTCTAGAGCAATATGATGCTACTTTGGTTAAATTTGATTCAAACCAGCAGATGGGACTTGATTCAGACGTCCATGTGTTCAACAGAATCCCTTTCCTTTGTGTTTGCAGTTGACTTGTAAATTCATCCAGACTTTGCATTAATGTTCCTCACTTTTCACAGACCTCCACCTAAACAGAAGAAGTGAGACGTGGAAGATGGAAGTAATTAAACGGTCCCCATTGACTGGAAGTCACTTACGTCATCAGTTGTCCTCCACTCAGCCTGTCTCTGCCCAACTGTCTAGCCCTCTGATATTTTTGTTTATCACTTTGTTTGACTCATTAAAAGCTTTTTTTAACAAATCATTAAACTCTGCAATGTTCTTTGCTCACTAAAGCTGGAATCTCAGTTCAGTCTGAGTCTTGGTGTAAAATCAGTCAGCTGCCAGTTTGAACCAAATTTATGTGAAATACTTGTGTATTGTGCATAAAGAAGTGTGTAGTTAAATATGATGTGTTTTATTTTATTTCTACAAGTGTTTTGACAAACTACAATCTAAAGTCTATTTTGAAAGATAATTTTGTAGATATATTTTAATTATTGTACATGTTGGGGCTTTGGGATCAGCTTTATTGCATGGTCACATTTTTTAATTTACTGTGGATTTATTTTAAAAATACTTTTTAGAGAATGTTGTCTAAAAGTTTTGGGGCAAAAGATTCTTCAGATTTACGGTATTGACATAAAAGATAAGTTTTGTACATAAAGTCCAACTATAATATTGAAACCTTAAATTGGTTTTAATTTAAAGATGCAGCTCCATCTCATTCCATGGTACCTGCAACAATAGTCGGTTAGTTTGAGCTGAAGTAAAAACTCCCAGTTTTAAAAAAGGGTGACGTCTCCAATGTAAATAATGAAATTATTTCAAATCTCAACACTTCTAGCTCATTTCCCTCAGTGATCCAATAAAGTGTTTTTATTCTGTTTCCTCTGTCCCAATTTTATTAACAATGTCACCTATTTAACCAATGATTTTTGTTGTTTTTTCATTTTGAAGTTGACGGCAACACATTTCAAAACCGTTTGGCCGAGGCCATGTTCCTGCTGTCAGTCATCCTCTTTGTAAAAATGTATGAACTGAGGAAGCTTTTTGAAAGGTCTCATCTGATGTTGGACCTGGACAGTCCAGGTGGATTATTATTTTTTTTTAATTATTGTTATAGATTCATCAAATGTTTTCTGTATCGAGGTCTGGAACGCAGTCAAACCATTTCAGCACCTGGACCTTTCCACTAAAAAGCCAAATTGCTGGTATGCAACATGCATACTTGCCGAAATATAAAACGTATTCCCTAAAGATTTAAACTAAAATGGGAGCACATGTTTTAAAAAGCTATATAATATTTTGCATTGATGCTGCCTGAATTTAACTTGGAGAATAATGGTGGAACATTATCAATATTAAGGTGGGACATTTCAGTTCAGGCTAAATTGAAGTTAATTTTAACTAAACAGCATGTGTAGAGCTCTGGTCCAGTATCTGTAGGAAACCTGGTTCCAACACGTTTGCATCAGAGTAAAGTGACATGTTGAAGTTGAAGAGCTCAAAACTTTGTGACCATAAGCAGATTGTTTTGGCAGCCATTTTGTGGGTAATATCTCTGGAGCGCGCTTGGAGATACTGGCGAGCAGTCGGGAGCGCGCGCTGGATGCAGCCGCTTACCCCTTACCAATGTTCCCATAATAGGCTGTTCAGATCAAGGCTATCTGCACTTTACTGAAATAGATTTTATTTTGTTGCCTTTGAAGATTAATCCGATAAGTGAGTTTAGCTGTCAGTCACCTTGCAATGTGCAGACCGCTTTCCAGTTCCAATGACACTTTTATTTGATAGCATGCTACTAGCTTGCTAGCCAACCAAGCCAAGGTTAGCTTTTTTTTTTTAACCAATAACTACGGACTGGGTTACTGATGACTTTACCATTTATTACGCATGCAAGATGATCTTTACATGTAAGAGGTTATCTTGTTGATGTATATTAGATTTATTAGAACACAGTTGTCAGTGTTGGACACCGCGGGCTGCCTCTGCGCGGCTAGCCGAACCGGTAAGCCGTCTGTTCATACCAAACTCCAGCTACGGAGGAAAGAACCCATTTGTGCTGGAAGCTAACAACCGGGATTTTTTTTTTTTTTAGCTTCAAATAACCGCTTTACAGTACTTGGGTCTTATTTTCGACTGACCCGGAGGAGGGGGGCAAGGTTCGTGTGGACGAAGGAAGATAGGGGTTTGGAACATCATCATGGCTGCTGAAGGAAACTTGGTTCGACACCCCGCCTGAGGTAAGAAACTGACGGACAGAGTTTGAGCTGAAATCGCGAACAGAGGAAAAGGTGTGGGCTGTGTTTATGTTCGAATGCTCAGGCGGGCTGTGATAACGGGAAGCTGTAAGGATGATCCATCCAGACAGCCGCTTCGCTTTCTTAGCCCGTGCCAGCCGGCCTCGTGCCTCTGTCAGAGCTCGGCAGATGATGGGGAGGCTTCAGTCATTGACGCCGAGCAGCCGCACTTATCATGGAGACATCGTTTCCTCGTGCTGCTTTGCTGCAGCATCGCCCCGATTCTGCGTTACTGACCGCTGTCATCAGATTCCCATCAACATACAAGATCTTATCGCAAGTGGTGATTTTAACAGTCCGTGGGGGTCCAGTGGGCTCTGAATAGATTGATCAGTGCAGTCTGAGCGGGTTCTGGCAGCGATCATGTAGCTCTTTTCAGTGAAAGAAAGTCCGGCCCATAAGCTAGGAGAAGATGCTGGCGGAAGAAAAGGGAGGGTTGGAAGAAAAAAAAAATGAATGGGTGGTTTCTAATATGCTGAGGTGTTGATGTATCCCCGTGTAAATGTGACAGCTTTAGAATTGGAAGGAGTCAACATTCCAGGAGTGTCCTCGGTGGACTTGCACCATTTTATTTGCTACTGGAACTAACACTGTGCTGTTAGCTGCTGCATCAGCCCCTACCCTGCCCTGGAGTGCTGGGGAAGAGTAACAGTCGTCTAGAGATCATGGTTACTCCTTGTCAAAGTGCCTGATGACAAAAGGGGAAAGTACTGAATGCAAATCTCAATCACGACCAGCATTATCGTCTGGAAAGAGAGCCTAACGTGCTGCATCTAGTGAAAGCATGAGCTGAACCACAAATAAATAAATGAATAATAGTTGCACTGCAAATTAATATGTGCAAATCAGCAACTGTGCTGCACAGGGTCACGCGAAATGCTCCAAACGTACTGCACATAGTCACTCCAAATCCACTAACAGCGATGCACAGCTCGCTAAACTAAAAACTACCCACGGTCAAACCGAATACACAAAAAACACTGCACGTGGTCTCATTAAATTTACTCAAAAAAAAAAGACTGCACACAACCACATTAGAAACACACAAAACACTGGACATGGCCAGGTCCCTTAAAACACTGCACACATTCATACTAAACAAATCACCTTACTTGGTCACACCAAACCCTAAAAAAACTACACGTGGTCGCACGAAATGCACTGCACTAAATCACACCAAACATCCTAAAACACTGCACACAGTCTCACCAAATATGCCAAAAACACTGCAGTCTGTCATGTCAAACACACTAAAGTACTGCAAATGGTTGCACAAAAAGCACTGCACATGAGCATCAAAAATACTGCATGCAGTCACACCAAATACACAACAACACTGCATATGATCACACAGGACAAACTGAAAACACTGCACACTACTATTACACCAGACGCTGCACAGGGTCGCATTAAACACACTAAAAATGCTGAGCACGGTCACACCAAACACATAAAAATCAGAAATGTAAGTTTCTTGTTCTCTATATTTATCCAGATTTATTCAGAAGTCTGTTTTTTCGTTTTTAAACAACCTAGGCCAGTCTTGAAAACAATGCAAATCTGAGGAGAAAATCTTTGGAGAGGAATGAGGAGGTATGAACACTGAAGTTCTGTCAACTCAAATTTTGTTAAGGGTGACGCTCTCAAACAAAATATGTTGGGGGGAGTGATGGCGCAGAGGTTAGAAGATGGGCTTGTGATCAGAAAGTCGCAGGTTCACCTCCCGGTACCGTCACCATCCGCTCCCCAAACAGGTCCCTCCTGAAAATGAGTTCTCGTGGCTCAATGAGACTACCTGGATAAATAAAGGCTAAATAAAAAAATTAAAAAAAGGTTTAACTGCCCTTAGTTTAAGCCTACACAAAATATTAGAGCCCGACAGATATATCGGTAGGACTGATATTTTTGGGTGAAATAGGCATTTGGGGACATATAGTCATCAGTAACAACTGTTTTATTATGCGCCGATATAAGCACTTGTAGCTTTCATCATTAAAATGATCTGAACCAACTGTAATAGTACAATGTATCCAGCAGAGGGTGCATGCAGACTACTTTGAAGTCATGGCTGTTCACTTTAAGTTTCACTTTCAGCACAGTCAAAGCGGGGAACAGCCACAGACATACTGTATATATGTAGACGCCTCATTGAGCGCTGAATTGTATGTCAACATCGCCACCATATTGGTTGTTGCAAAAGTGAAGTGATAGATTTAGACATAATCCCATTGAGCCTCGAGGACTCATTTACAAGAGAGACCTGAACTGAATGGCCTGAAGGATTCAGTTTCTTTGTCATAAAGGGACAATACATATTAATTAACATGAATACATCACATAAATATGCCAGATTTAGCCAAAGAGGCTAATTGTCATCTTTAGTCCCCTAGCAGGTTGATGTAAAAGATTTAAAAAAATTACAATTAACATGCATGACATCTTACATGACCTATAAGTTATGACAATTTTAAATAGAGCTAAAAGTATGGCAGAGTTCAGAGTGGCAACATGGAAAAATCTGTGCAAGACTATTCTTTTCCAAGATTTATAACTTACACACACACACACACACACACACAGACTGCATATATATATATATATATATATATATATATATATATATATATATAT